AGAAATGACCAGGCTCTGGCTGGGTAGTTTAGTTGGTGAGTGTTGTCAGTATACACCAAGATTGCAGTGTGATTTTCAGTCAGGGCACATATAAGAATCAACCAATCAATGCATAAGTAACTGGAACAACAAACCGATCTCTTTCTCTCTCAATTATGACGAAAATTATAGTTAGTTGGTGGCAAAAATCAAGACCTACTATCCAGTTCTCTCAACTCTCACTGTAGTATGTTCTTTCTGCCATACCACCTTTTATGTTTTTTCTTATTTTGGACAAACTGAATTAATAAAGTGAGGTAAGCTATATTATAGATTTATCACGGTAAGCAGAGAGGTATAATCCTATATAATAAAAGGCTAATATGCAAATTGTCCCCTCAACCAGCAGTTCGACTGGGAGTTCGATGGGGGTAGCTGGCCTGACCTTATCTGTGCACAAATTCATGCACTGGGCCTCGAGTAGAAAAACAATAATGAATAATACTTAAAAATACCCAAATTAGAGCATATCACTTCCTAACTGTATGAGGTATAATGATAAGCAATAATGAATAATACTTCAAAATACCCAAATTAGATCTTATCACTTCTTAACATCTCCAGATACTAAATAAACTATAAGATGACATATGTCAGGTAATATTATCACTATAACTTTTTAAATGTTAGGTTTTTTAAAAATATGTATTTTTATTGATTTCAGAGAGGAAGGGAGAGGGACAAGGAGAGAAGCATCAATAATGAGAGAGAATCATTGACTGGCTGCCTCCTGCCCGCCTCCTACTGGCGATTGAGCCCATAACCCGGGCGTGTGCCCTTAACTGGAATCGAACCTGGGACCCTCCAGTCCACAAACCAACTCTCTGCCCACTGAGCCAAACCAGCTAGGGCAAATGATAGGCTTTTTAATAAACCCAATAAGATAGAATTTTTCCTCTGTGTTCTCATAATGGAGCTACTAAGATAAGAGCATGACAAAGTAGAGAGGTTTAACAACAAAAAAGATTTAAATGTACATGCCTGTCACTAATCTCACTGAGTGTTAAGATAACATTGTTTACAGAACTTAAGATGAAGGGTAGCTTCATTTTCTCAATAGCAAAGACAAAATAAAATATAATAGATGAAGAACGTTAGAAAACTCTTCTCCACACATTTTATGGGCTTTTATGCTGTTATGCTAAAACACGGAGCAGAATGATAGTGTGGAGTCAAAAAATGCAGATTGGAATCTTGGCTCTCCTACTTACTGGCTGTGCAACTTGAACACTTTTCAGGCCTCAGTTTTCCTCAACTGTAAAATGGAATTGTGAGAATCAGAAGTAACTGAGGTAAAACACCTAGCTCAGTGCCTGGATATGTAGGAAGATGAAATAACTATTATTAAATTTGAAATTATCAAATTTGCTGAAAAACAAAGTTTACTATAAGTAATAAAATAAGTATTTGAATGATGAATTTCAATTAAGAGATTAAAACAATTGGGCACACATTATGTTAATGTTTAAGAATTATTATTATATCGATTTAGTGCCAAAGGGATAGAGCAATGAACAACACGAATTTTCACATCTCTGTATCTTTTAACTTTTCTATCCAACAACCATCTACTTTGGCTATTGACTTATGGGATGCTACATATGTGGCTAACAGGTTGTGCTCTCTCCTGATTTTAACTTAAAATTTTTTCCTATACCTCTATCCCTGAGTGTGAAATTTAAAGTTTGTAGCTTTCTGGTACAACATCCTAAAGCATAATACATAGGATATCCCTATAAAAAGATGTTAATAAATCAACTATAAAAAGATAAGCTTTGGCTATCTTCTCCCTGCCAGGAAAAAAAAAATGTGGCCAAGAAAAAAGCAACAATTTTTCACTTTTTATAATAACCATAACTAATTTAAAATTAGTTATTTGCTATAAAATTTTCCAGCACTCACAAAAATTCTCAGGTGTCTGCTTACAATCATAAAATTATCAGTCCTTTAAAAAGCATCTTTAAAAAAATATTCTGAATATTGAGAGTTAAAAATAATTTGATGTAAATGTTTTAAATATGAAAAGCCTGCTTTATCTTATCTGTATCTTCTATCCATTGAAAGTGAATATTTAAAATGTTTTCAATGAATTAGCAATGTATATTACTTCATAAAAGATCAAATATTTTATTGTTTTACTATTTATAAATTAGGAGAGTAAAGAAATGATTTTAAGGAATACCCAGATTAAAAAAGAAAGAATGAAACCCAGTAACACACACCAATTCCAGCCCTTTTCATTTGTATTCTAGCATGGAACACTTGGCGTAATAAAAGAGTAGCTTTTGGTTTACAAACACTTTAATCATGAACACTGTACAAGGAGGGCTTCCCCCCGCCCCCCACCCTTATTCTTTTTATCTTCTCAAAAACGTTTAGCCCTGGCCAGTTTTGCCCAGTGGACAGAGCATCAGCCTGTGGACTGAAGGGTCCCAAGTTCAATTTCGGTCAGGGGTGCGGGAGGCAGCCCATTCAGTGATTCTCTCTCATCATTGATGTTTCTCTCTCTCGCTCCCTTTCTCTTCATCTCTGAAATCAATAAAAACATATTTTAAAAAAACGTTTAGAAAGCTGTAACTGCCAGTTACATATCAATCAAGGTAAATTGACATGCTTAATAAAGCAGTAAATTTTCTTATTACTTTAGTACCATAACTACAGGTAAACTACGAATTAAAATATAAATTATAAAAAAAATGCAATTTTAAAGCACATACTACAAAAGAACTCTTTCCAACAGTTACTCACACAACCTACAAGTGAACAGCAAAATAAATGATACAGAGCTGGTTGCAATGGCAAAAGGCTATTATTCCCTACTCAAATCGTCAGTATTTGAGGGCTTTCAAGATTCCTGGTTAAGTGCCAAATGTCTGTTCAGTAATTTTAATGACAGTCCCAACTTTTACAGCAGTACTGAGTATGAAAACACCAAAACTTAAGTTTATTGGGTCTCTCTACATTAGGACGACATAACGTAAAAATCAAATCATAGCCACTATAGCGCTTTCTTCCTGTGGTTGAGTTCAACATTAAAGCACTAAAGAGACCAATTCCTTACATTTTTCTCCACTCCTCGCTTGCAACATTGCAGTCCTCAATGTTTACCTCCCCCAAACACTTCCTACCTTGACATTTGTGGATAAATTAAAAAAAAAACACCATTTCCCACATAACCGTAAAAAGAAATCAAGGAATAGACTAAACTTAAGACTCGGGTAGCAATTTCACCCTCGGCACCTAGTTGGCAAGGTTTCCGCAACGTCTGTCTCACCGTCTTACAATTTCATCCTTCAAATGGAAATGAAGAAAAACACCCCGTGCGATGTACACTGAGCCGTGAGTGATCCCAGGTCAGCCTGACGCTCTGCCAGAAAGGGCCAGGTAACGACTTCTCCTCCGGTTGTAGCCGTCTCTCTCTCTCAGCCCCTGGACAGACCTCCTGGTCAATGCGACCGCAACTCATTTACAAGAATTCGAGGCTTGTAAATTACAAGTGACAAGACTCCCTTCCCAAAGGAATCCCTTCCACGCGCGGCGACGGCCTCCTCCCTCCAGACGCCTTTCAGCCGTTTCCTCATTTCCTCGCCCATTTCTCCATCTCCTGGCTACACACCTCTCTGGTCAGAGAAGTTCTCGGAGACGGACAGCCTTGGGGGGGCTGTCTGAAAGCCCCCAGCCCTTCGCCCCCATCTCAACGCCTGTGCAGTGCACACACACATCGAAGAGTTAGTTCCCAGAAGCAATGAGCGACCGGAGCACAGACCGACGGGGACCGAAGAGGAAGTTCCAGAACAATGCCCCGGCCCCGCGCCGCACCAGAGCCCGCGTCGCCTCCCTCGCCCCCGTCGACCGCCCCCAAGGTCTCCACAGCTCCGACAAACGGCCCCCCGGCCCACAATCGGGGACCCCCCCTCGCCCCGCGAGCAAGGCGGCAGAAAGAAAAGCGAGCTCCGGTCGGTCCGAGTTGGGATGCTTTTTCTCCCGGGCGGAGGGAGGCCAGCCAAGGGTTGTGTAAAGAACTGAAAGCCGAGGGGTGCGGGGGGGAGGGGAATTAGGGCGCCAGAGCTAATCCCCCGCCCCCTCCGAGGCCCACGAGTGCAAGAGGCGGGAGGCGACCAGCTCGGAGGACTCGAGGGCCGGGCTGCACTAGGCGTTCGGGCCGCGAGGATGGGGAAGAGTCTGGTAGCGCCAGCGGCCGGCGGGTGACGGCGCCGCGCAAAGCGAGGAGGCTCCGTGTGGAGCGAATCTGGGGGGCCCGGGAGAAGGAATCGCCTTCCTCACGCCGCCCTAGCCCCCCCGAGCTCACACCTCAAACCTGCTCTTGGTCACTCCGTTCACGTCCCTCCTCCTGGGGCCGGCGG